CAATTCAATCCTTGCCTCATATCATTCTTGCTTCATAATGTTATCTAGGCAACACTAGAGAATGAGGAGAAAAGTAAAACCAATTAAACATTTGTGTAAATTGTTTTAAGTTAAACATACATCTGGCATATAGCCCAGAAATTTCAGTCCTAAAATATATAAAACCATACATCTACACCTATCATGAATGTTTATAGAAGATAAATTTATAATCACCAAAAACTGAAAACAATCAAATGTCTGTATACTGGTGAATAAAAAATTTAAAAACTGTGGTACATCCATACAATGAAATACTACTCAGCAATAAAAAGGAATGGATTACTGACACATGCAGCAACACGGTGCACCTCAGAGGCATTACACAAAGAGAAAGAAACCAAACTCAAAAGGCTACATACTATATGATTTCACTTATATGACACTCTGGAAAAGAAAAATTATACAGGAAGAAAACAGGTCAGTGACTACCAGTAGCTGTGGAGAAGGAAAAGGAGACTAATTATAAGGCGCACAAGGGAACTTCTGGGGGTGATGGAAATGTTCTTATATTTCACTGTGGTGGGGTAGCTATATGCTCTATAGATTTGTCAAAACTCAGAGAACTGCACATCTAAAAAGGGTGAATTTTATTATATGTAAATTATATCTCAACAAACTTAACTTTAAAAAAAAGTTAGGCAATGTGGTATTTAAACATAAAAATAAATAAATTTTGGAAGTTGGGCATCAGCCTGACCCTTAGAAAATAGAACCTAATCAAAAGTTATTCCCTAATGCATCACTAAGGGTTGCAATCCCAGAGAGGCAAGAGTAAAGGAAAAAGTGAAGCAAATCAATGAAAGAAGGAGGGAAATTACAGGGCATTATATTATTGGTTTTGAATTGGTTGTAGCTTCAGGGGGATATGCAGTTGGCTGTTGTTCTCACAGGATATCTATATAGAAGGCCCTGGATAGTAGCAATGGTTGTTCATACACAAAAAAATGCTGGGTGCAGTGGCTCATGCCTGTAGCCCCAGCACTTTGGGAGGTTGAGGCGAGTCAACCACCTGAGGTCAGGAGTTTGAGACCAGCCTGACCAACATGGTGAAATCCCATCTCTGCTAAAAATACAAAATTAGCCTGGTGTGGTGGCAGGTGCATGTAATCCCAGCTACTTGGTAGGCTGAGGCAGAAGAATCACTTGAACCCAGGAGGCAGAGGTTGCAGTAACCGAGATCACGCCACTGCACTCCAGCCTGGGCAACAAGAGCAAAATTCCGTCTGAAAAAAAAAAAAAAAAGAAGCGGGAGCCATATGAAATAGTCAACAGGGAGGAGAAAAAGCAAACAATTTATCTCCTTTCATTCCTCCCAATGAAAAGCTTGCTCAATGGAGTGAAATACCCGTACTTCTGCACTGCATTGCCCAGCCCCTGCATACAGTTTCTGGGAAAGCCAGAGGCTTCCACAGGTCCATCTGGATCAAACCTCTGCATCAGAGCTGCAGAAGCTCCTGTATGATGAGCAGAATGGAGCCCTTGCCTCTAGGATCAGCTTTCAACCCAGGAAAGCACAAGGCCATTAACGATGTTAGGAGATGCATCCCAGGGTTTGGGCTGTATGAACCATAGGATCAGCTACAGGAGTCATCACTGGAAAAGAGTGACAAGTGGCCAAGGCCTGGGTCAGGTGGGACCAGCAGATATGGGAACTTTGACAAACTGGGTCTAGAACAATGGGCTATAATTAACAGACCTTCTAAACTAAAAGAGTAGTTTCATTTTTAAGAATATGCCACAGATACACAGAGAAAATTTCAAGCAATTTCTATCCATTAACAATTTCTATCCATCTGTTCATATGATGATCTCACCTGACCTTTAAATAATAAATAAGCTCAGATCTGTGAGGTTAAATACCATGTCAAGCTGACATGTTCAGGGACCACTCCATACAGAAAACAGACACTGCACATCTAAATAATGCCCTCCTCTGGACAGATCACAGGACCAATGCATGATCCACCCACCACGGCATGGATATAATCCTTCAGAAAATAATAAATTCTAAGTAGCATTCAAAATCTAAAGACTGTCTTACAATCCTTCCCTCTGAGACATCAACACAAAAATGTTGCAATGCAACATGCAAAAACGTCCCCAGTTGTGGGAACTGAAAAAGCTCAACTCCGTATTTTAACATGGCAATATCTTATGCTTTTAAAAAGTTACTATAATCATTATGTGCTTTTACATGTATCATCTTATTTAATCCTCATAATCACCCTAGGAGGCAGAGTATATTGCTGCTCCTGTTACAGATGAGAAAACTAAGGCACAAAGATGTGTAATTTGCCCACAGCGTCTGAACTTTGCTGGTCTGAGCCCAGGGCCCCACACTCATACACAGTCATTCAACAGATATGTGAGTGCCTGCCAGAAGCTGGAGATAACGAGGTGCAGATAGCACATGACCCTGCTTGTACAGAGTTTATGCTCTATGGGAAAGACGAGCATTGGACAAGTAATCACAAGTAAATAAAGGAGAAGCAGAGTCCTGTGGAAGTTCACACCCTGTGCCTACTCAAAAATCTACAGTGCAAAGTTTGTGGTCATATTGATATCAACTACCAAGGTTAAATCGGCAAGTACACATATTCAGGAGAAAATACAAGCCAGTCAGATTCACTAGTGCTTTTTAGTTTGTATTTTCTCTATATACACCACAGTGGTCATTTTCCAAACGTAAGCAGGTCCTGATAAAAAACTTTTTCCAGTATGTTAAACAATTTACATGGTTACCAATTTGCTCATTTAATATTTTTCTTACCCAGGCTTTAAAGTTCAATGAAATTAATTATATATCCATTTAACCATCTTGATTTTCAAAAGAACAAAGAACAAAATATATAAATTCTGGTACTGCCCAGGAAAATATAAGAGTACTGGTTACTTTAACTATAACATAGTTCTTTCGCACAGATAATTCTATGATAAATAGATAAACTTCATTCTATAAAATAAGGCTTCTCAGAAGTGACTTCTTGGCTTGTTTGAGGAGAGAGTTTGACACAGTCATAAGAAACCCAGATTCTGGCATCAGATGGACCGAGACCAGATTTACTTTCTACCTATCACTGGGCAAGGCTCCTAGCCTCTACAAGTCCTGATTCTTTCACCTGTAAATGTAATAAAGTTGCTGAGACCTCAAAGGGTTGTTGTGAAGGTTAAAGGAGATAATGCATGTAAAGTGTTTAGCATAGTTCTTGACCCATAGTAAGCACCTAATGTATATGAGCTGTCACTCCTATTATTAATCCTCTAAATGGTTTGCATATTGAAAGAAACAGCAAAAGAAGAAACGGTAAATGGATGGTGTATGAATGAGATGCTTGAAATATATTAGGGAGCGTGGCCTAAAGAGCCACCCAATTACACCAAGGGCAGCAGAGTGAGAACAATTCTATAAATCCCGTACGCTGAGCCCTCACTGGAAAGGAGAAGGGCAAATGGAAGCTGACAGGTGGTTAGTAATTACATAGTCAATTCATGTTTACAGAGGTGAGAGAACTTCAACGGGGATAATTAAAACCATAATCTACCTCTGGCTTTTATTCCTGCCTAAACAGCACCTAAAAGACCTTGAGGGAGAAGAGACAGTTCAAACTGACATGTGTTTCCACTTCTGTATACCTGATTGTCCTCAGCCCTTATCAACGGGTATAGATTCAGGTAAAGCAAACGTCCGGTTAGAAGTCACATGATAAAAGCCGCAGGATGGAAAGGGACTCAGAACTTGGGGTTTTCAAGTTTTTAAGTCACAAGACCTTTTCTTAAAAGTTTGAACAAAGTAGTTAAAATGTGCAGCTACTCAAACTCGAGCAGCGATGGTGTCCCAGAGAACAAGCAGCTCACATCTACACCTGCTGCCCCCAGCCCCACATCCCTGCTGTGGCTCCTACAGCACAGTCTGAAAACTGCTCATAACATCCTTCCATGTAATTTTAGAGAGGCGGAAACCGAAGTCAGAAAAGCAAAGGGACTTCCACAAAATGACACAGCTGGAGGGACAAAGCTGTGACTGGCATCCAACCAGTATTCTACAGTTAGGTTCTCTTCACCACTGAACACCATCTTCCTGACTTACATACTAAAAAGACAAAGAAAATAAGCCATGTTTGAAAAGAATCTGTCTCCTCACAGGAAGAAACAACCATGGAAGGCTGGTTAGCCATGAAGTCTGGCACCGACAGCTTGGACTCCACTAATCTGCATTTGAACAAAATATCACCTCCATCTATGGCTGACAGGAGTTACCAAGACAGTTTTTTGAACATTAAAACAAATTAAGTCAAAAAAAAAAAAATAAAGACTTCACAGTGAATGCCTAACAGATTCACATTTACAACTATATTGCATATGCATGCTTACAGTTACACTCTGGAGGAAGCATAAGCCACATTAATGAGATTGGGGGGAAAGAAAAAAGGGAGTGAATAGCCAACAAAATTAACTACAGTGACTAATGGATGAATTACAGTCTTATGATGCCAGGCACGATTTCGTGTTCTTTTCACAGAACCCCAACTTAGATCATCTGGTTGTGCTTTAAAGCATCTATATTTTAAAACCAAATGTCATGCCAAGCACTTTCTTAGACTTATATGTTGTAGAGTTCAAAGTTCATATCAACACGTATAAATCATTTTCTAAAGTACCGTAACTTTCCCCTATTTGAGAGAGCAGGGATGCAGACAGAGCCCTCAAATTTCAGCTTCACATGGCCTTCAGGGATTCAGATTCACATTGGGCCTGAGTCTACTGCCAAACAACCCAGAAGACTGGGAAAAATCCTGTGGCCCCGACTTCTGTGCAATTCCACTTGTTTCTGTTGCATTTTCACCTTTTTATTTTATAAAAGGAGGATTTATAGTATCCAGAGATAAATTTATGCCCAACAGCTTGACACAAAGTATTTCCTGGCCTCATCTGCATCATATCCCTTAAGTACGTCTCACCTCCTCCAGCTTGAAAACCATTCCGACATATGGTTGTATGCGCCCTTGCTGGCAGTACTGAAGCAACGAAGACAGACTCTTGGAGAAGACAGGAAAGTTTGTTTCTTTGTATTGACCATAGCGCAGGCCCATGGCAGAGACATTCTTCAGGAGTAGAAGGTTGGCTGGCACAGAAGCAATGTTTCCTCCAGCAAATCCCACCACCACAAGCCTGCCCTCCCATGCCAGGCTGAGAGACAGAGAAGAAGAAAAAAATTATTAAAGAAAGCAACATATATTCACACCCATTAGGATGGCTAGTCTTATAAAATAGTAAGTGAAAAATGTTGGCGAGGGAAATTTAAGCCCTTGAGCACTGTTGGTGGGATTAGAAAATGGTGCAACTACTACAGAAAACTGTATAAAGTTTCCTCAAAAAATTAAAAATATGTTTAGCAATTCCACTTCTGATATATATCTAAAAGAATTGAAAGCAAGGTCTCAAAGAGATACTTGCATACCCGTATTCATAGCAGCAATATTCACAATAGCCAAGCGGTAGAAGCAACCCAGTGTCCATCAACAGATAACTGATAAGCAAAATGTGATATATACATGTAATGAAATATTATTCAGGCTTAAGGAAAGAAATTCTGTCACATGCGATAACATGGATGATCCTTGAGAACATTATGCTAAATGAAATAAGCCAAACATTAAAAGATAAATACTGTAAGATTCCACTTACAGGAGGTATCTAAATTAGTCAAATTCATAGAAACACAAAGTATAATGGTGGTTACCAAGGGCTAAGAAAAGGAAGGAAAGGAGAGATGTGGTTTAATGGCTATAGTTTCAGGTTTACAAGATGAAAAAGGTTTTGACATCTGTCACAGAACAATGTGAATATAATTAACACTACTGTACATTTGAAAATGGTTAAGATGACAAATTTTATGTTATCTGTTTTTTACCATAATAAAAAAAAAAGAAGAATAAAAAAAAAGCAATGTACATTAATTTTCACAGAGAAAGAAAGAGCAGAGGTTACCAGGGGTTGGGGAAGGGGAAAGAGGCAGTTAATGTTTAACAAGTACAGAGTTTTTGTTGGGGATGATTATGCAACATTATGACTGTATTTAATGTCAGTGAATTGCACACTTATAAATAATTAAAATGATAAATATTAGGTTATGGCATGTTTTACCACCATTAAAAAAAAAAAAAACCAACATGTATTAAATCCACAGCTGGGAACTCGTCTTGACCTTGCAAATTGGGAGGAGTGAACCTTCCTTTATTACTTTGGGCTTCTCAGCAAAAAAAGAAAAAAAAAAAAAATATATATATATATATATATATATATGGCATATATATTTTTTCTTATATATATAAGGCATATATATGCCATAAGCAAGGGATTAGGAAGCCAAAGGAATTAGCCAATTTTATAAGGGGGCCCACTTTAGAATAAAGGCTGTCGAACGAGGTGCAGTGACTCAAGCCTATAATCTAAGCACCTTTGGAGGCCAAGGCAAAAGGATCACTTGAGCCCAGGAGGTCAAGACCAGCCTGGGCAACATAGTGAGACCTTGCCTATACAATGTATAAAAATATTAGCCAGGCATGGTGGCATATGCCTGTAGTCCCAGTGATATGATTTGGCTGTGTCCCCATTCAAATCTCATTTTGAAATGTAGTTCCCATAATCCCCGTGTGTCATGGGAGGGACCTAGTGGGAGGTAACTTAATCACAGGGACAGTTACTCTCATGCTGTTCTTGTGATAGTGAGTGGGTTCTCAAAGGATCTGATGTTTTTATAAGGGGATTTTCCCCAGCACTTCCCTTTGCTGCTGCCATGTGAAGGAGGACACGTTTGCTTCCCCTTCCACCATGACTATAAGTTTCCTGAGGCCTCCCCAGCCATGCTGAACTGTGAGTCAATTAAATCTTTATATAATATATATATATATATATATATGTGTGTGTGTGTGTGTGTGTGTATATATATATGTATATATATATGTGTGTGTGTGTGTATATATATATATATATATATATATAAAAATTACCCAGTCTCAGGTATGTCTTTATTAGCAGTGTAAGAACAGACTAAAACACCCAGCTACTTGACAGGCTGAGGCAGGAAGACTGCTTGAGCTCAGGAGGTCAAGGCTGCAGTGAGCCACGGAGCCATGATTGCACCACTATACCACTATGCTCCAGGCTGTGCAACAGAGTGAGATGTTGTCCCCCTCAAAAAAAAAAAAAAAAATCAAGACTATCTATTCAACTACCTCAACCATTTTGTGGAATAAAATTGGGCATATAGACAAATGTCACTCCATAGGTTGCATTGAAGATTATGAACTTAAGAAGCAGGAAGAAGAAGAATACACTTTAATGAGGGAAGAACCAGTTGCCTTATACAAAGACTTACTTTAAGATTTAGGATTCCTTTAATGCATCTGCCTCTTTGGAGAATTTTAAATAATCTACAGAAATTCACAAGTATTCTGTAGCCCAGTATGAAAAGTCCCCTACAGTACCATTGCTAAGCAATGAGTTACAGAAACAACTTTTGCAAACATCTTTGATATAAAATATGTGTATATTGGTTTGGTTTTGGCTTTTTGCTTTTCTTCTTTAGAAGGGAAATGAGAAGCTATTGCTAAAACACAATTATCCAGAAGGCAAGGAGGAAGGCAAGAGATGGGAGAGTTTTACCAGCTCTCTCTCCTGGCATTCCACTTGGACTACACACTCACTTTGCTTTTTCTTTAAGCACAGCACCAGGCACGGTGCAGTGATGAACAAACATATAGATTGCCTGCCATTCAGCTCAGGGGCTAGAGAACCAACTGGATCCCTTTTGTGGGTCGGCTGCTCTCTCTGCTTCTGCTGCTCCTACTAGAAACTGAGATAAACTACAAAATTATGCTTGCCAGGATGACATGAGAAACGAAACCAATGCTATCGGAGTCTACTCCAGAATCCTTGGTTGAAAACAGAATGAGAACTGGTGTGATACAACACTCCTACTAAATCTCCAGTTATATTTTTTAAATAAAACAAGTCAAGGAAGTATCTATACTGCTGGCTGCTTTAGAAAGCAGTAAGATGAGAAGAGCCTGTACCTTGGTCCACAGTGAAATGGGAAAAGGGGAATTGCCACCCCAGTAATTCTAATATCTGAACAATACCCTCTGCAAGAATTGCCCACAGACACGGATATAAAATAGTCAGTAGGAGCTGGCACAGCTGAATTTAACACATGCATAATTTCTAAAGCATTTGGCATTGCCAACTAGAGTCTGCAGTCATTTTTTGGATATTTTCCAGTTGGGTATTTTGTTTTTGCTATATATAAGCATTTCCTGATTTTCTCTGCTTCTATTCCTTTTCACCCACCCACTCAGCTGTTCTCGTTGATGTTGATGCCTACAGGAGAAGTGAACAGCAAAGATGAGAGAGAAGCAAGGACAGAAGGAAGGCAGAGATCAGGAAAGGTTTCAGCTCAAGCTCCTGGGCAGACCACCCCACACACCTGCGGAGAGCCTCCAGGAAGACGTCTCCGCCCACCATGTCGATGGCCACATTCACCCCGCCCTCGCCCACCAGCTTCCTCACTGCATCCTTCAGGCTGCCCTGATTGTAGTTCACACTGGACTGAGCACCCCTCTGCAGCACCAGCTTGCACTTCTCGTCACTTCCAGCAGCAGCTATTACCTGCATCAAGAACACAAGGTATCTGATTATCCAGAATGTGTCCCAAGAAAGGGGCACCCCACCTACCCCAACTCCAGCCAAACCATGCTACTCAAGGAAAGCATTGTGACTTTCCTGCCCTGTTGGCCTTGAGCACACACATCAAGCCCAACACAGACCATCCTACTGGCCCCTCCATGCCCTACTGGCCATGAGGTCCACATTTCTAGAAATCCTGGAACCCTAAAGGGGTAACTCGAAGGTGGTTTGAGAGACACTCAGAAAGTCTTCTCAAATGCAAATGAAAATCACCATTTATTGAGCACCAGCTATGAATCAAGCAGTAAGGATACAAGGTGGATCCTTTAGAGCTAAGAAAGCAAGATACAGCAGAGTGACGGGGGAAATACAGAGGGGTCCAGAAATGTAAACAAAAGGCACCCAATCTAGATCTAGAGGGTAAGGAGTGACTTCCTAGAGGGTAAAACATGATTCAATAGAAAAATCTTGAGTTAGAGAGGCCTTAGTCCAAATCCTGGCTTTGCCACTCACTAGTTATGTTACCCTAGGCAAATTACTTAATAAGAACTAATGCATTTTGTTACTATTTGCCAGTTACTACTCTAAATGTTTTACATATATGAATAACTCATTTAATTATAATAGCCCAGTGAAATACACAGTATCATTATCCTTGTTTTGTAGATGAAGAAACTGAGGCAAAAGTAGTTAAGTAACTTGTTACCCAAGGAAGGTGACAAAAAATGGGAGATAGGCCTGGCACAGTGGCTCACATCTGTAATCCCAGCACTTTAGGAGGCCAAGGCGGGTGGATCACGAGTCAAGAGATCGAGACCATTCTGGTCAACATGGTGAAACCCCGTCTCTACTAAGAATACAAAAATTAGCCGGGCATGGTGGCACACGCCTGTAGTCCCAGCTACTCGGAAGGCTGAGGCAGGAGAATTGCTTGAATCCAGGAGGTGGAGGTTGCGGTGAGCTGAGATCACGCCATTGCACTCCAGCCTGAGTAACAAGAGGGAAACTCCATCTCAAAAAAAAAAAAAAAAAAAAGGGAGACAGAGCTGGAGCCCAAACCCAGGTAATTCATCTCCAGAGTCCATGCATTTAACCTCCATTTTGTTTGCCAGCTTCTCAAGGTTTCAGTTACCTCATCAGTAAAGTAAGACATTTTAAAAACTATCTCCAGGCACAAGCTCAAAGAGAAAAAAAAGAAAAAGAATTAAATGGTACACTGTATATAAAGCGCTTGGAAAACAAAGTGTTAAGTAAATTGAAGCCATTGTTATACACATGCAATCATTTATTCTATTTGAACCTTATAAGAACATTATGAAGGAAGTATAATTACTAACAGAGACACAGACTCAGAGAGGTTGAGCAATCAACCAGGGTCGTCCATGAAGCACGTGTTAGAACAACTATTCAAGCCCACTGCTGTGTTACTCCAAAGCCCATGCTTTTCCACTCCATCAGCCTAGGAGAAAACCCTATCTAAGGCCAGACACAGATGGCATAGATGGTAGTGGGCCATACTGTGGGGAATTCTAGGGTTTGGAAGTCTTCAGAAAAGCTGCAACACTCAAGTCTTGCCTAGACGCGCCTCATGATGGGGCAGCACCCACCAGCCCAAGCACTTTAGTCTCAAGGTTAATTTGCAATGGTATACTCCAAGAACACTGGTGCCCTTGAAAGATGCCAAATGGACTCATAGGTATTTGAAACTGAATGCTTCCCTCAAATGCTCCCTGGTGGAACCCTGAAATAGCTGCAGTTCACTGAGGGCTATTAGCACACAGTGCCACAGTGGGCACACTGCTCTAGGGTCAGGCACCTGAATTGAATCCCAAGATTCTCACCGGGTCTCCATGAGACCTGCAGTGAACCATTTTCTCTCTTGGTGCCTCACTTTCTTGATTTGTGAAATAGGGATAACAAACACTTATACTACCCATTTCCTGGGGGCTTTTGAGGATCAAGGGTAAGATAATTGCTGTGGAGGCACTCTGGAAGCAATATGAAATGCTGTAGACTCAAGGTGTAATCAAAATGACCTGTTCCACATAGGTGGCATGGTAACATTTATATTTTTGTTTTCTTTTGTTTAAAACCATTATTGCTGTGAAAGAAAATACAGCATAGATTAATTTTAACATATTAATTAAAGTGAGCTTTTCTCTCTACTATTTATAACAATTTGTAACTATTTAAAACAATTTGTACAATTTTATCTTCCTAGAAATGTTAAATAACCAATAGCTCTAGACCAGGCGTCCCCAAACTACGGCCCATGGGCCTCATGCGGCCCCCTGAGGCCATTTATCCGGCCCCCTGCCGCACTTGAGGAAGGGGCACCTCTTTCATTGGTGGTCAGTGAGAGGACCACAGTATGAGGTGGCTCTCCAATGGTCTGAGGGACAGTGAACTGGCCCCCTGTGTAAAAAGTTTGGGGACGCCTGCTCTAGACAATAAAGCCAATTACAGTTTCTTCCCCAAACAGGAGCTAAAAGCTCATCCTTTTAACATGAAATGTGTTCATATTACTTGAGGAGCTTCCTGGTATCTATGATTACTTGCAGAACTCACATGTCCTCCCGAACGTAACTTAATATGAGAAAGGAGAGATGTCCCTTAAAGGAGTACCAGACCAATCCAATTATCTCCAAACCTATATATACCTAGCTGCCCTCCGGATATCCAAGTGCATGCTCCACAGGAACCTCACATTCAACACGGCCAAAACCCAACTTACTCTTCCTGGCCGTGTTCTCAATCTCAATAGATGGCAACTCCACGAGTTAACTTAGTTTGCTGCTCCTTCCCACTCAATGTCTAATAATAACAGGATTCTTTTTAAAGTGATTCTTACTGACATGCCCCATCCTCTAATAGGCATTGCACGTGTAATCTCAATATTCCCACAACAACTCCATGGAGAAAGCATTCATTTACAAGGGAGAAAACTGACGATATTAAGCTGGAGGCAGAGCTGGAATCTGAACCTATGTCAGGCTAACTTTAAAGGCCTTGTTCTTTTGACTGGAGTAGGATGCTCTCCAGGTACCAAATTATCTATTTTTTCCCACGTCAGTATCTCTCAATGCATTGCTTCCATTGCGTTGGTTCAGGCATCCTATCCTAATCCTGGCTTGGAGTGCTCTAAGAGCCTGTCCTATTGCTTCCAGACTATGCTTGACCTTTCCCCTATCCCTCATCCCCATGGCTACCGGAGTGAACTTTTCCAAATGCAAAAATTTCATGTCACTTCCCTACTTTAAATCCTCAAATGCTCCCAATAGCTTCCAATAAATGTTCAAATTCTTCAGCCCCACACAAGGCCCATCATGACCTTATCTCTGCCCTCCTCTCTAGAGTCACCTCCCACCATTTCACCCCAGGTCCTTGGCTCCAGAGATGCTATTTGCAATTCTCTGAATGTACCATGCTAGTTCCTAGTTCTCTGTCTTCTAATAAGCCCTCCCACCACTAAAAAAGGCCTTCACTTACCTTCTTCCTCTATCAATTGCAACCCATCCTTTAAAAGTCAGTTTAAATGTCCACCTTCTACAAGAAGTCCCCCTTTTCCAACACTCACAGCTTCAGAAAGATGCTACTGAAGAGACCTAAGTCTTTTTCCCATTATTCATTCATTCATTCATTCATTTAAGAAAAAGTTCTTGAGAGCCTACTGTGTTCTAGGCACCATGCTAGGTGCAGGACTACAGGGATGAATCAAAGAGACACTGTCACTGCCTTTATGGGGATTACAGTCCAGTAAGAGGAAGACAATAACCCAATTAACGACACAAGTAACCACACCCTTAGCTCTGTATTATGAAAGAGAAGTAGAGGGTGTTATAAAATTATATATACAGAGGAGGGAAAGGGGACTCACCTAGACTGAGGGGCAGAGAATACTTCTCTGAAAAAGTGACGTTTGAGTTTAAATCTGAACGACAGCTCTGAGCATTAGAGGTAGAGAAAATAGCATGTGCAGAAGGCATGAAGCGAGTCAGACCTTGCCAGGGTCTAGTAACTGGAAGGATGAGTGATTTGCTCCTAGGCCCCCTCCCTCGTCTGTAAGAAAATAGATGGCAAGACCCTGGTCTGGGTTACTTTATATCCCCAATGCTTTGCACGTGATTTTTAACCAATGAATGAATATATTGTTGGAATAAATATATGTTTGAAAACTGGAGTTAGGATTTTTTTTTAATGGAGACTCTAACATACAAATACCTTGGCCTGAAGAATATTTGTTGCCATATCTATCACTGCAAGGCCTGTGGCTCCAGCTGCTGCTGTCACTAAAACAACTTCTCTGTGCCAAAGAAAGATGAATGTTACTCCAGAAACCTTCAAAAGTCAACCAGTAATATGATTTCACAAACATTTTAGAATTAACATTTTAAAGCAAGAATGTTAGAGATCATTTCATTCAAACCTTCATATACATCTATTCTCCACCCTGTAGGTTTATGGATCTGACTTCTAGATTCATGCTAATTTGGTTCAGATTTGAAGACTTCCCAGGAAAAAAATTCCTAAATCTCTCTAGGTAGCCTATCCCTCATATCAGTGGCAACCCTTTCTTTAAGCTACCATTCCAATTTATTCTCCAGAAATTCTATTTTAAAATCCTTCTCATATTAGATACTGCCCAATGTTAGAAGGCGATGACCATGTAATGGCCACTGCTCAACCAAACCCACCTCTCTGAAGCAATTCTGAGCATCAGCTCTCTGAAAACATCAAGAAGCAATATGCATGCTCCAGGCAAAGAGTCAAACGTCAGCACCTTTTCTTCTGAAATATCCTACCTAACACACTCAACAAGGCCTCAAAGAAACAAATACCATGGGCCTCTATTAAACTCAGAGTAAAATGGGTTTGAAGAAATCAACTCTCTATACTTTAATGCTTTTTTATGAGATGATCTCCAGAGTGGTCACGTTTAAGAGAGGAATTTCTCCAAATTCACACTGGCCAAGTTCACGGTCTATCATTTCCTCTCAGATAGAGAGACGTCCTCACAGTCATAAAACCCCAATCTCAAGTGGCTACCTCCCTTTGGCTTTTCCTCCACCAAAAGGAAGGGAAGGGAAGGGAAGAGGTGGGGCATGGCCTTGCTGGACACTTCTGATATCAAGAGAAGGGTATTTTCTAGCCTGGTGTCATCTACACAGTCCTTACCCAGGCTGTGTATGGGCCCGATGCTCAAGAGCAAAAAGCGCCGTACCATAGGATACAGGGAGGACAGCAGCTTCTTGTAGGGAGACCTTTTCTGGGATCTGCCACAGGTTCTATAAAAGAGGTAACAGGGACTTGTGGATTAAGCATATGTACCTAGTCATAAAGGCTGCTCAGTAAATATTAGGATTTGAATATTAGGATTTGATTCAGTGACTGATTTGCAAAGGGAAACACTTGCCCATAACCAAGCCCAGTAGAAGTCAAGACTAAGCAAGCTGTGGCAGAGTTCAGGACTTGAAGGCTTCAGACTTCAAAACCCCAAGGCTGGCATCTGGCTGAGGAAGGAGCCAACAGGTAGAAAATGGAACACAGATCGATCACTCTACTGTGATGGATGAATGGTATGATGTGTCAGTTTTCCCTTAATAAAGATGGCGGAGGACGGTGGGGCAGCGGGTGGGGAGAACAACTGTGTACTGTTCATCGCCAGGGGGCACCATTCACACCCTGCACAACCATTCTAGACTACCCTGGCTGGCTCCATTCCCAGAGTGTCTCTGTCATAAGCTTTGTGTGAGGAGAAGCCCATTACATTCAGCTCAATGCCCAAAACCAGTTTTTCTACTAAAACTACCTAGTCCAAATGAACAGCCAGCTCAGGGACTCAGAAAGCAAAATGCTGTTCTTCATTCAAACACTCAACACAAGCAAAGCTCTGCAAAGTGTTGTCATGTTAATGAAGAGGAGTTTAACATTTGAAAAAATGAAGTGCTTAGCTGAGAAACAAACATGACCAAATAAATACAACGAAAAAGAAGGAGAGGGGAAGACTGGAATGAGGGATAAGTGGAAATTAAAGAAAACTAAGGAGAAAAAAATGTCCAAGCATGAATCTTGAGCAGTATGGATACCTTCTGATCAGTGATGCATTCTTCAGCCATACAATTAAAGTTTCTTATGCCAATAACTCTATCTCCCTAAAGAAAAAAATACCATTAAGGATATGTGCAAATATATGACCTTGCATTCCCTTTTCCTGAATTAATCAAAAAAAAAAAAAAATCCACATCGCTGACTCTGTAAGACACAGGTTGGTCTTAATTATCTATTCAGAGTTAATGTTTAGTAAATAAAATAAGGATTGTCTCAACACCACCACCAGGTTGCCAAGCCAATTTGAGTGAGACCATTTGAGACAATGAGATCGAGTAAGGGAAAGGTTGATTTGAATTAGAAGCCCAGTCTTCATTTCACAAGAGGCTCAAATTCTAAGTCCTCTCGGTTAACAACCGAGGTGTTGCCTTTTATTCATAATAAATGTTTAAGGCAGCCAGGAACTTCCAGTGACTTATTTTACCCAATTCAGATTTTGTTTCTTGCCTTTTTATTTAGGTTTCCCTTTGGTGTCTGCAGGCAAAAACCAGTAGAAGCAAGACCCTTTGTCTACAAATGAAATTAGCACATTTTTCATAGCTACACATATATTGATTCCCTAGACTTCAACTAATTTACCTCTTTAACTGTGCTGACATCTGTGCCTGTCTCCAATACTGTCCCAGAAAACTCCAATCCTAAAAACATATTGTTTAAAGATTAGGTTATCTGTAAAGTACAACACCATGGAGATGAGAAAACACTGATTGACAGGCCAATCCATCAGCTTTTGGAGCTGAGAGAGTTTACACGCCCCTCCTCCTCTCCACCTGCGGGTAGGGAGGTAAGGGTGTTATACAAACATAAGATTTCATGATCATAACCTGGGAAGCTACAGCAGTCCCAATCTTACCATGACACAAATGAAAATTTCAAGAATGTGCAAAAGCACAGAGAATCACAGGTACACAGGTACTTCTAACCCTAATCACTGGGACCTTAACTCCTATGGCACCCAATGATGCCGATCATCATATTTATCTGTTTTCAAGTCTCTTCTGCTGACTACAGGGCCCTCAAGGACATGAATTATGTTTATTCAGACAGTATTTGGCTCAAGTGGATGAACTGGTGCTTTCCGCCGTTTCCTCTTTCACTTCTGAAATTTCTGAATTAATGATCATGGTTCCCTACTTGGGCTGCCAGGGGAATAACTCAACTGAGTATGACATCTTCTCCTGCAACCAGCATTTCAGCAAATATAAACAGAAGGAGATGGCTCCAACTATTGAGACACAACCAAACACCCTGAGACTAAAACACGGTAACTATTTTACAGTCACTGTATATTTATTAATATATATCTGTATAAAATATACATGTGCTATATACTTGCTAAGCTATACTTACAGCCCTTTGAATAAATTTCAACCACAAAAATCAGTCACTTGTCCACATGCTCGGATCTAGAAGTAGATTAGGAACAAAAATCAGACAGTGGGTTGCCAAGAAACCCACAATCTTTTCTTCTCTCTGATCCTTTGGTATTAGGCTTTATTGGGAATGTGTCTGTGAGGCTGCAAGTTTTAGCTTCAAACCAATGTCTGTGATCCTTCAATGAAGAAACAAAATTGGAGCAATATCAACCAAGGAAAGGGAATGACTAGGACCAATGATAATTTTAGTGAACAGAATTTTGGCAAAAATTCATTTGTTCATTTATCCATATTTAGAGTATTAATTGAGCACCTACTAAGAGCCACGTACAATGCTAAGCTGGGGGATATATATATTTTTTTTCTTTAGCATTTATTTTTGATTTCCCTTTTGATTTTATTTTCATGAAATGGGTGAAGCTATACAGAACTTGGCTTCAGAGCTGGTCATCTCGGATAAACCTGTTGCCTTCTGAGTTTTTCCCATAGTAAACGTAGCGACACTTCCCCAGGACACCTCGGTGACTGGTGAGTTCTACGCAAGACAGGCGTAGAAGCTGCCCTCATGAGGCTCACAATCTAGTGACCCTAATTCACAGTGAGACGGACACATCCAAGTGAACCATCACTGATGGCAGGCAAACACCAACAGAGCACTGCCTGAGTCCAAGGGTATGGTTCTGAAAACGCTGTTATCTTTTTTTTCTCAAGCAGTCTCTTGGTCTCCCCATACTTACCCGGTGTGAAGGGAAGATGGGGCTTTTCCTGATATTGACCACGGCAGACCAAAATATCAGCAAAGTTAACGCCACAGAAATTGACATCAACTCTGACCTGCAAAGGAAATAGAGCAGCAAAGCAGAACACTACACATCCATGGAGACAACGTTCATTCAATTATACCGAAATAGTTACTGAATGACAACCATACGCCAGGTACTGAAGTAAGAGGTGGGATACACTCATGAGGCAAAATGGGCAAGGTTTGTGCCTTCATGAAGCTAAAGTGTAGCAGAGAAAACAGACATTAACCAGATAATAATGAAGATCCATATATTAAAACTCCAGTACAATACACGGGGCACACATGTGTTCTCAAGCCACCCCACCTAGATTTAAGAATGATTCGAGAATGAATGTCGTTCAGCATGTGAATCCAGGAAGCAGATAGGCTGCCATCATGTGCTCAACCAAATAATCCGTGTTAGCCATGTTAGCTCACAGGCTCCACGCCAGTGACACCTCAGGGCTATGGCTGCCTTTCTCCCTCTCCCTGGGGGTCTCCAGCACTGAGGCCTACTGCCTGCTCGACGCTGTCTGAGGCTCTCATCTCCTCACCAGATGGCACTGTGTTACCAGAGAGGTCAAAAGGCACGGCCAAAGTGACGGCCACATTTCAGTGGAACAGCTAGCTGCCCACACCCCTAAACGAATCCAATCCCAAATCTCTGCAGTACACCAGAGGCATATGTTCACATGGAAACACGGGGGTTACCGGGCTGGTTTGGGGGAGGCAGAGGCCAGATAATTGGATTCCGGCACTTACGTGAACGAAGCAAAGGATGAGGTGCAATGTACCTGTGTTAAACCAGTAACTTGCACATACGAAGTCGTGTGCAAATCAGAAATCTCTGTTTCTAAGGCAACAGCTCTGAGCATTGAGAAAGAGGCCTATAGGCGTGTTTTGGGGAAACAATCTTCCTTTGGCACTTTGGACCTTGGAAAGGGATTCAACCTCCTAGCCCAGGACGAAGTTGCCCTCCAGTCTCTCGGTCGCCCTCTCGCTTGGGAACTGGGAACTTGATTCAAGAAGGAAGCCTGAGGGGAGTGTGCGGTAGCGGGGAGAAGGGGAGAAGGGGATAGGCCAGCCCCCTACCTCGTGAGGCCCGACGGGGCGGGGGGCCACCTCTTCAATGGTCAGGGGCTTCTTCAACTCTGTGCAAATCGCGGCGCGGTAGTGCCGGCCGCAGCCCTGCCCAGCTCTCCTGCAACACAGAACGAGGGCCGGGTCACTGGGGCAGCCCCGCCAGGGCACCGCGGGACCGCTTGCGGGGCTCAGGGAGGAGTCGGAGTTGCACCTGTAGCGCCGCGCCCGAGGGAGGCACCGCCTGCAGAGAACCGCCGCCATGCCGAGGACCGGGTCGCGCGAGGGGCGAGGGGGCGTGGCCAGAGCGCGGCCGGAAGGGCCGGACCGCCCCGCCCCGCCCGGGACAGCGGAAGGGCGTCCTCCGAGGCCGCCGGGCTGCGCTCCCCGGCCGCCAAGACCCGGCGCTGGCGGAGCTGCTCCGGCCCGGGGCGCCCGGCTCCTCCCGCTGCCGAGCCCGAACGAGCGCGCGAGCCCCCTGTTGGGCGTCTCTGGAGGTGGAGCCGGCGGGAAGAAAAAAAAAAAAAAAAAAAAAAAGGAAAACAGCAGGAAACGGAATTAGATGACGCGAGATTAACGTTTGCTGGCATTTTTTGTAACAAATTTGGGAGACTTGGTTTTTTGCTTTTTTGTTGTTTTTTTTTTTTTAATTATTTCAACTTTATTTTAGAGGGGCTACGGGTGCAGTTGTTACCTGAGTATATTGTCTGATGCTGAGTTTCGGGGTACGAATCATCCCGTCACTTCGGTGCTGGGCCTAGTACCCAATAGTTTTTTCAACCCTTGCCTCCCTCAAAATTGGGAGACTTTTTAAACTACTCTTGGCGACATTTAAATAGTAGTTTGGGGCTGGGTGGCTCACGCCTGTAATCTCAGCACTTTGGGAAGCCATGGCAGGCGGTGGCCCGCGTCTGTGGTCTCAGCAACTCGAGAGGCTGAGGCAGGAGGTTCACTCGATCGTGGGAATTGGAGGCTGCAGTGAGCTATGATTGCACCACCCTGGGCGACAGAGACCTTCTCTATAGATTAGAAAGATAAGATAAAGGTCCTTGGGTCCTTTGCAATGCAAAATCCTAAATGCACAGGTAAAGGCTTGATTTTATTTGTTTGTTTGTTTGTTGTTTGTTTGTTTATTTTTGAGACAGGGTCCCGCCCTGTCACTCAGGCTGGAGTGCAGTAGCACTATCGGCTCACTGCAACTTCCAGCCACTTAGGGTTAAACCATCCTCTGCCTCCCGTATAGCTGGTACTATAGTCGCACGCCACCACATCTGGCTAATTTTTGTATTTTTTGTAGAGACAGGGTTTCACCATGTTGCCCAGGCTGGTCTCGAACTCCTGGCCTCAAGCGATCTGCCCACCTCAACCTCCTGAAGTGCTAGAATTACAGGCGTGAGTCACCACGCCCTGCCAGGTAAAGGCTTTAAAGTCAGCATGTGAACGCCTTGTTAGAGTTCAATTCTTGTTACAAATTTTCTCATATTTACAGGATCATTTACTAGTTATTAACGATCCAATGTTGAATGAGCCTACACAAATCCAAAGAATACTTCTAATTAAAATCAAGCTAAAGTCCACCACAGGGAGAGTGGAAGGCCACTGGTTCTCATGTCCCCAGTGCCCGTATTAGGCTTGGCACCTAGATGCTCAATAAATGTTCATTGTTTCGCAGACCAACACAGACCATTTGCACTAGATGAATAAGCACACTCTGGAAGAATTGAAAATATACAATATCATCTGTGAAATACTATAAAACTGGGTAGATCTCTATTGCAACAGTAACCAAATATTTATAGGGTATCTATATAAGAGAAGCACACATTATCCTGGAGAGAATATTTCATTTGACAGGTAACTTTTAAAGAGAGCTTGATGCCTTTAAAAGACATCTGGCAGAAAAAAAGTCATCTCAGATTCAAGCCTATCTCTACCGCTTGTTTGTGTGGGTTTGACATTGACACTTGTTGGCTCTCTGCCTCAGTGAACTCCTCTGTAAAGTGAATACATTGGGCAGAATAATCCCTAAGTTGCTAAATTATTTCTATTTTTTGACAGAAACAGAATTCCCAGATAAAGCATAACCTGGAAGGCATGATCAGGAATGGAATAAAGGGAAAATGAAAGGCAAAAATGAAGTAAGAATGAACTTCTGAAATTATGGCGTGAAGGCTTTGAAAGAAAGAAATCTAAGAGCAAGGTTCTCACCTTGGATATACAGTAGAGCTTACTGTTATTTTAATAACACTAGGAATTTGAGAAGTCATTTGAGTCCTCTCTCCCTAGCTGAGAAGATGAAGAAACTTGTGTTTCCAATAAGACATGAAAGCACTTTGTGAACTGTTAATCATTAGGCATGTAAAATCAAACCAGGAATAATAAAATAAAACCAGGAATAATGGAGAAATACTAACATTATCATCAAAGTGAACATTCTGATTGCCAAATAACAGTGAGTGGCTGGGCACAGTGGCTCACACCTGTAATCTCAACACTTTGAAAGGCTGAGGTGAGTGGATCGCTTGAGGCTAGGAGTTTGAGAACAGTCTGGATAACTTAATGAGACCCCCCTCCCTACCAAAAATACAAAAACCTAGCCAAATGTGGTAGCACACGTCTGTAGTCCCAGCTGCGTGGGAGGCTGGGGCGTGAGAATCACCTGGAGGTTGCAGTGAGCCGGGATTGCGCCACTGCATGCCAGTCTGGGTGACAGAGTGAGACCCTGTCTGAAAAAAAAAAAAAAAAAGCAACAAAAGAGTGCACATTATTAAGTATGAAACCAGGATTTATTGCTCAGAGGATGAAATGAGTTAATACATATGGAAAATGTTTTGTAAAATATTACATATTTATACAATATATAAAGCAAGCAGCTCTTAATCAAGCTCCATGAAAGCAGCAATCATTTAATCTCCTTTATGTTTTCATTACTTTGCACAATACCTGACACAGACATTTAATACATGTTTATTTAATGAATTGTTCAATAAACACTGAGTTATCCATTATCAATTTTCCACATACAAAAAGTATCTTTAAGAATCAAACTCTAGGCCGGGCGCGGTGGCTCAAGCCTGTAATCCCAGCACTTTGGGAGGCCGAGGTGGGTGGATCACAAGGTCAAGAGATCGAGACCATCCTGGTCAACATGGTGAAACCCCGTCTCTACTAAAAATTACAAAAAATTAGCTGGGCATGGTGGCACGTGCCTGTAATCCCAGCTACTCAGGAGGCTGAGGCAGGAGAATTGCCTGAACCTGGGAGGTGGAGGTTGCAGTGAGCGGAGATCGCGCCATTGCACTCCAGCCTGGGTAACAAGAGCAAAACTCTGTCTTAAAAAAAAAAAAAAAAAAAAAAGAATCAAACTCTAGGCCGGGCGCAGTGGCTCAAGCCTGTAATCCCAGCACTTTGGGAGGCCAAGGCGGGTGGATCGAAAGATCAAGAGATCGAGACCATCCTGGTCAACATGGTGAAACCCCATCTCTACTAAAAATACAAAAAATTAGCTGGGCATGGTGGCGTGTGCCTGTAATCCCAGCTACTCAGGAGGCTGAGGCAGGAGAATTGCCTGAACCTAGGAGGCGGAGGTTGCAGTGAGCCGAGATCGCGCCATTGCACTCCAGCCTGGGAAACAAGAGTGAAACTCCATCTCAAAAAAAAAAAAGAATCAAACTCTAGCTGGGCATGGTGGCACGTGCCTGTAATCCCAGCTACTCAGGAGGCTGAGGCAGGAGAATTGCCTGAACCCAGGAGGCAGAGGTTGTGGTGAGCTGAGATCGCGCCATTGCACTCCAGCCTGGGTAACAAGAGTGAAACTCCATCTAAAAAAAAAAAAAAAAAAAACTTATTTTTAATTGTTTTTATGGAAAATTTCTCAATTATGAATTTCATAATATCCTTGTCTTTCTCAAATAATAAGAAAATAGTTGGGACAAGAATATTTAGAGAAATCAACTAGTTTGGAGAAATCAGTCAAGACTGCATTCTGCATTTATAACAATATCTGAAAAAAATAGTAAAAGCCCCATTAAGAAGAATCTTGGAGGGAGATGAAAGTATTTTCGGTAATTGAGGTGATTTTAAGCACATATGCAAAATAACTTTCACATTTCCAAAGAGAATCAAAGGTATGTGACAAGACATTTAATAGTAGTTGCTATAGTAGCAAAAGAAATATTTGGTCTATCCATCAAAATGCTGCCACCACACCCTGCTATCTAGTTTTGGTGATTGTTTCTGATTATTTTATTTTATTTGAAGGGAAGACAGAAAGGGGACAAGAAGAATAAAATTTGAGTCCTGGGAGAGAATCAGACCAAGCAGCTAAATCTGAACCATCTATCCTCTGGAAGGAAAGAAAGAAAGGATAGATAGCTGCCCTGCAAACCAGCTTGAGGGCTCATTAAGGAAGTAAAAGAGTAACAGACGACTCTTCCTTCTGGTACAGCTCACATGAAGAGATAATATTTAACATCCAGAAGCTGCTGGAGGGCTGAGGGTGGGGAAGCAAGCCAATGCTGAATACACAAACAGCTATGTTTTCACAGAATAATAGACAAACAATATATAAACAATGTAAGCACCATGCAGGACTATGCGGAAAATGCAAAATTATCTTCCACAGTTAAAATGCTTTAACCAGTAGATTGTCAGTCCCTTGAGAATATAGACTGTCTCAGTAGCCTCGGCGCGTACCACCACTCCTGGAACATTGCAGGTTCTCAGCAAATGGTAGGAAGGTGTGAGTGGCTGCCAGCCACAACATAACTATCCAAAGCCACGAATCCAGACAATTTTAAGGGTTATTGCACCCACTTCCTTAGCTAAGTATGCAGATGCTGAACAGAATCTCATCTTCTTTATGAGTAGTTCAGTATTGCCATTTTAGATATAAATGCTCTTCTGCCACAATGATGTCCCCCCAAATTCCTGAGGTGGGTAGGAGTAGTTTGCTTTTTCACCGCATTCCCCTAAGAAGGCTCTTTCTGACTGTTGCAGTTGGGGTTAACTTTTAACAACTTTAGAAATGTACTTTGGCCATTAATATATAATGCATATTGACCTACTCTATTCCGGGAAATGTGTAAGATTTCTACGTAAGTTTTTTGCCCCAAAAGTCATGGAATCATAGAATTTTGGAGTTGGAATGGGTCTTGGAGATACTCTAATCAAACCACTTCATTTACAAGTAAAAAATCTGAGGTTAGGGGAGAGGCTGCTCTTAATACCATGCTCTTTGGATCTCACTCCTCTGCAGTATTCTTAATAGTGATAAAATTTCACATTTTCCTAGTTCTTCATAGGCC